CAGTACCATTAACATGAAATTCTTCTTCTCCCTCTATGCCTATGATCTCTATATTTGGTCTTTTCATGGTGCCCCACATCTCTTGCATATTCCATTCCTGTGTTTTTTAAAATTTTCAAAAGTCTTTGCTTGAGTTGTCCAGTTCTTCAGCTTTATCCTCCAGTGTTGATATTTTGTTTTCCATTTCATTCATTCCAGCAGCGAGGCATTCCCCTGTTGTTTCAAGTTGGCTTATTGAGTTTTGCACTTCCTTCTTCATTTCTGCTTGAGTTTTCTTCACTTTTGTGAATTCATTCAGAAGTTTGTTCCTATCTTCTTTTAGCTCTTTGATTTGTTTGTTCATGTGTTCTTTAAATTCGTTGAACTCCTTGATCATGTTTATGATTGTTCTTTTAAATTCAGTGTCCTGGATTATCTCTAGAGGGTTCTCTTTGTAGAACTCTTCTACAGGATTGGTGGGGTTTGGTGGGGACATAGTGTTTTGGCTTTCCATTTCATTATTCTTTCATTGTGGTTTTGGCATGTGAATTTCTTTTGTTGTTTATGATTCTGATATGAGAATTAAGTTGAAGTATGCTTCTGTTTGTATTATCAGGGCACCTGGATCCTTTCTTTATTGGTTATGTAAAGCTGGTTGGTACAGGATTCGGGTTCTCTCAGTTTTATTTTGGAGGGAACTGATGGCTTCAGATCAGCTATTCAGGGGTACCCACAGAAGCCCAGTCTCACAAAATCCCAGGTAGGGGGATGGTATGGCACAGTTAGGGGAAGTTTACCACTAAGTGGAGGCAAGATCAGGGGGCTGTCAGGCTGTCCCCTGTCTTCTCAGGCCCTCTGGTAGTTGGAGGCCAGAGGGAGGCCAGAACCCAGCACACTCTGGCGGTCTGCTGCACATTGTGGTTTCTTAGTGCATTTATATGTGCTTTGTGCAAAATTCACATAGCATACTTTTCATTATCTGTAGAGCGTAAGATCATTTTGACTCATACAAAAGACAAGATGTCTAATGATATTCGTGATGAGGTAGAAAAAGAGTTGAATCCCAGGTCCTCAGACACCATGAGTAATGCACCTATTTTGGTGTTCTTATTTTTAGAACATGCTTAAGGCAGTCAGTGCAACCCAGAAGCAGGTAGAGCTGGCGAAACTCCATGAGCAAGCCAAGAGGAACCTGGAGGAAGAAATCCATAATTACAAGGAAGAGGCCCAGAAGCAAAGAAAGATCATCTTCCAACTGGAAAAGGAACGTGATCGCTACATCAATGAAGCCAGTGACCTCACCCAAAAGGTAAGCCATCCAGCGATGCTGTGGATGGAGCACTGGCACATTCTGTCCTCCGCATTTCTGGCCACCACACACAGTGGCAAGGATGGTTCCTATTTCTGTTTGCAGTTTTCATGCAAAAACAGAAAAATCTAGGAGTTGTCTCAGAGCTGATCCCGGGCCAACTGGGGGGATGGACAATGCCTGTGCTTGGCCTCTCTTTTCTGCTTTCTGTCTCCTGTCTGGCTTCTTCCTCCTCTCTGTTGCCCTATTGTCAGAAGCTTGGTGCTGCCGTGTTTCTGGCCTCATCCTCTTTCAAACCTCTAGTCTCACCCCTCATGCATTACTGATGCTCCTGTCTCCTCAGAGCAAGGAGCAAAGTAGTTGTTAGGCGACATCACCTAATTAAATAATCCCAAGTTAGGATGTATCTCCTGTCTTAAGCTCCAGCACTGCATCTTCAAAGAGCATTTGTTTTCCACTTGAAAACTATGGTGAACCTACAAACCCATCACTGGTAGACATCCACACATTGGGTAGCTAGGCTCTAAATCTCTCCCTGTAAACTGTTTAAGAGGAAGAGAGCACAAGGACACAGCTACAAGGAAGAGTTCAGAGACGTGGGTTTTGCTATGGTGAGCTGTCTTAGCGCATTATTGGCATCAGGCAAAAGTACATGTGGTCTGTGGCACGTTCACTCCGATGACCTAGAGCAGGGGCTCTTAAGTTGTTTCCACTCACTGCCCCCTTTTGCTCAAGAAATTTTCACATGACCCTAGACATAGAATGAGATATATACATTTACTAAAAATAATAAATTTATTTTAAAACAGTTCTTTTTATTTCATTTTATTTTTAATTTTTTTGTCTTTTTGAGACAGGGTCTCCCTGTAGCCCTAGCTGGCCTGGAACTTGATATGTAGACCAGGCTGGCCTGGAACTCACTGACTCTGCCTCTTGAATGCTGGGATTAAAGGTGTGTGCCTGACTTAAAACAACTCTTTGATATACATATAATGTTACTGTTTATTAAAGACAAAAGCAAATTTGCATTTTAATGAGATGGATAAAGAACTAAATCATAGCTGAATATTTGACACTGTAGAACGCGGAGTATGTTGTTTTTCAGAGTTGACTTATATTTTGGTTTCTGTAATTGTCAAAGCTGAGAATGCCAGCCACTTCACATAAATACGCAGCACAAGATGGTAGAAGTATGTTTAGGGCATTTCAGAAATTTCTGGAGATTCTGTTCTAATCTTAAGACAAAACTTATGTAATGATTTTTTTTAAATGAAATTCAAGTCAGTAACTCAAACAGCAGTTTTTAAAATCAAACATTCTAACAAAATAAATCCAAAGATACGTGAATTTGATACATGCTGAGGAAAATATGAAAAGCCTTTGTTTTTTGTAATTAAAGCATTACCTTTCTATAACAGCAGAAACCTTGTATGTGCAGCGAAAACACTGCCATTCAGAACACACAGTAATCTCGGATCTAAGCCTTGGAGCTTTAGGCAGCCTGCACCGGCATAGTGTCAAGTGCGCATGTGTGTACAGGACTAAAGCTGCAGTGAAGGATATGCGTCACAGGCGAGTGCTGCCAGAAACATCTGGGGTTCATTATACATTTGATTCCCAATTAAGTTTTGGTCATGGCATTTCACTGCTGCCATTTCTTTTTTGCAACCTCCACATTCAGTACACTGTGGGTTTGACACAATTTAGAAAGAGGGTCTACAACAGAGGTCCAGGTATTGTGTGGGAACTGGGAATGGAGAAACGTTTTCGCTACGAGGCTGAAAGAATGTTCTTCTACCCCAATGTTAACTTTTTTTTTTTTTTTTTTTCTTGTCAGTGAAATTCTACAGGGTTTTCCAACACGCTTGCTTTAAGTTTTTTTTTTTTTCCTCCATTTTTTTTGGGGTGGTGGTGGTGAAATCTCAAGAGCACAAGGTGCTCTGGCCAGCCCTGCCAGGACGGGATCAAGGTCCCCAAAGGAGCCCCATACTCCTGCCTGGGAACCATTGCAACACAGCATATTTGCTTCTGACTTAACCAGCTGACTGATTTCCGACTGTGAGGACACACTGTCTGTTCAGCGGCCGGTACTGTGAAACATAGGCTATTTCGTATTAGCTTTTGTACCCATCTTCCTACCCTGCGGCAAATAACCCCTGCCTCTCAGTGGTTTACAATCACAAAGGTTCTTTCTTTCTTTCTTTCTTTCTTTCTTTCTTTCTTTCTTTCTTTCTTTCTTTCTTTCTTTCTTTCTTTCTTTCTTCTTTCTTTCTCTCCTTCCTTCCTTCCTTCCTTCCTTTCTTTTTTTTTGGTCTTTTTGAGATAGGGTCTCCCTGTAGCCCCAGCTATCCTGGAACTCACTATGCAGACCGGGCTGGCCTTGAACTCACAGAGATCCTCCTGCCTCTGCCTCCCAAGTGCTGGAATTAAAGGCATGAGCCACCATGCCTGGCCCTATTCTTTCTTTTTTAAACTTAAAAAACTTAGTTTCATTTTATGTGTATAAGTATTTCACCTGCATGTATGTAGGTGCACTATGTATGTGCAATGCCCATGGAGGCCAGAAGAAAGCACTGGATTTGATGGAGTTACAGACAGTTGTGAGTCGCCATGTGACTGCTGGTAACCAAAGGGGATCCTCTGCAAGAACAGTCAGTGCTCTAACTGCTGAACCATCTTTCCAGCACCCCCCACTCATTCTTTCTGTGTGAATGCTCTGTGAGGGCCAGCTGTAGCTATACTTTACAGGCTGATTCTGTCAGGATATTCTTTCTGTCTTCTTGACCAAAGGAGTAGGATTACCCAGTGGACCCCCATGATGCTCTCTGGCTTCAGTTACAAGGGCAGGGCAAAGGGCTTGCCCACTCACAGTCCATCCAGCACATCATCCTGGGCAGGAGCTGGATGTACCTTAGGAAGGCCCTGTGGGGTGAGCAGTGGGTGTACTTGACCATGAGAAATCATCTATAAAAATAATCTGTTATCATCTATTGAAACTTTCTTCTTTCTGGAGAATAGTCTCTTTCTACCAGGCTGTCATCATCCCACCAACAGAGCTAAGTCTTAAAAAAAATCCTCTGTGTTTTTAAAAAAAAAAATTTTTTTAAATTGAGCTTTTGTACATTTCATACAATAGTTCTTAATTAAATTAAGCCCCCCCATGCATGCCCCCCACCCCCCATTGGGCCTCATGTATTCTGCCATACATGTTAACACTGTGTGTTTTTGTTTGAGACAGGGTCTTACTCTGTGGCACAGGCTGATCTTGAATTTGAGATCTTCCTGCCTCAGCCTCTAGAGTGCTGGGATTACAGGTATACTTCATTAAGCCTGGCTCCAATGTAGTCTTATTTTTCCCTGTCTTTACATAGTCTGCCACCTTTCAGAAGCTCCCTGGGAGAGTAATGCTTCCTAACATTTTTCACATCACAGCACATGAAGAAAATTTAGTGTTTTCCTTTCCTGGGAATAAGGGTTGAGGCTCTTCTGGGCCAGAAGATACATACCCAGGGAGTCTAGCTGCCCAGCTTCCATGTGGCCAGGCTGTGGATAGAGTAATGAGTGTTTTGGTACACGAAACCCACACACAGCACAACAGCTGTGGAATTCTGACCTGTGGGATAGAGTCCAAGTTCTTTGTTCTCCTGGAAAGTCTTTCTCCCCCTTCTCTGCACAGAAAACTCCTATTCGTCCACTGAGACTTACCTCAAATGCCTGGTTGAGCCTCCCTATGGTTCCTTGGGGAGAGACTTTCACTTCCCACTTCCTGAGTTTGTTGATGTCCCTGGAATGGTACCTATCAACCTCTAGTGTAATTACTTGCTGACACAATTGTTTTTCTGCTTTATAGTGAGCTCTTGGGGCCTGTGACTTTATCTCACTCATTTCTTCATTTCCAACACTCTGGTGCATAGTCCATACCAAACAGGTGTTTGTTGGATGGGTGGAAGGTGAATGGTAAAAGGAAAAATGCTACTCCTGATTTCCACACAGGGAGGTGCTTTTGTTAGTGTCCTTATAAAGGAGAAGTGTTAGTGTCATGGTTTGCTCTCAGCCGTTCTTCACAGTTTCTAGTGTTTTAAGTGGGCAGAGCTGTGCAATTTCTCACCCAGACAACTCCAGTAAAAATTCTTAAAATATTTACTAACTATGAATTTTCTATCTCTTGCTTTATTTACCATCTAACACACACACACACGTACACACACACACACACACCCTTTATTTCTATAAACACAAAGCTCTCATATATTTTGTTTGTAGAGCATTGAAGACTAATATCTAGGGTTGGAGAAAATACCATGAAACTGACATTTTCATTTACCTCTAAAATGAGTATTTATGGCTTCAAGTCATCTTTTTGACTCAGAAATTTCTGTCATGAAAACTGAATTTAAGGAAAAATAAGAAATGCAAAGAGTTTTATAAAAGAATACTTTTCGTGGTATAATTTATAATAACAAAAAATAGGAGTCAGTCCCTGAAAGGTTAAACAAATTGGGCAGAGCCCACTTGATACAATATTAAGTATCCATTAAATAATTGTATGGACATTTTTTAAATGGGAAACATGTTCATAATAGGAACCTGAGAACACTATAAAATTCTACATATAGTTTAACTCCAATTTTATCTGTATGCATGCAGGAAGAATTGGAGACATAATATTTTGGAGGTGGTTGTGAGGATTAAATAATATTTTTAAAGTACTTGGAAGAATCTTGGTTGCATGACCAGATGAGTATTATATAAATGATAAACAAATAATTTGTTTGATAAATAATCTGGAGCTTTTCTTCAAAGTGGCTCTTGAGTGGAGCTATTCTTGAGTTGTTAAATGTCAATAAGGTGCACACAAGACTATAAAATGGATGAGAATTTTAAAGCCAACAGTGATGAATTGAGAAAAACCTCAACCTCCACTCATGGGCCCTTCAGTTCAGTTCCTCAAAGACAAGAACCGAGAGAAGCTGGAAAGATGACTCGGCATCTCTTCTACT